CCGCCTACTCACTAACGAGTCTAGGAGTCGCCGCTACCGCCTACTCCCTAACCTGAACCGAACACCTAACCCTATCCTAACCTAAACCATATCAAATAGTGACCACAGTAGCGTTCCGGCCTATTACCCGGACCGTACCCACGGTACCGTTCCTGGGGCAAGCTACCCATGGGGGACATAGACCTTCTATGAGCGCTGCTTGCCTTAATGTGTTTGCGCGCTGCGCGGCAAGGCGGCGAATTTGTTGCTGCGGGACTCCGTGCTTTGCCAAGCAGTATCTACAATAGTCACGTTGTAAAAGACTGCGCACGCGCCACGCACCCACCACGGTGCTCGCCAGTATTCGCCGGCCCATGCGAATATTTTGTTTCCAAACGGTATAACATAGCAAAAGGAATATAGCCGCCTTCTGATTGGTTTGCCTTCGATTTCTTATATATTATTATATAAGATTATAGTGTTATATTTTTATATGAGTATATGTTGTAGGGTTAGGGTTTAGGGTTAGACGGTTAGGCGTTAGGGTTAGGGTTAGTGTTAGTGAGTTAGCGGTACACTTCTGTTAGTACAAAGTCTGGTACACTTTGTGCGTATACATTATATGTTACTCGGGTACCACATCTCGGCGCTTCAAGGATAGAGACATGGGCGTCCCAATAAAACCAATGCTCATTTACATCAATATACAATAAAATATAATATTACCACTCAAAGTATTTAGGTTAGGGTTATGGTTAAGGGTTAGGATGGGGTTATTTTACGGAGCTTAGAGCTTAGGCGTTAGGGTTAGGTTTAGGAGCCTAGAGTGTGCCTTTTAATTGCCGACTCCCATGTTCTCTATCCTTGGGCTCCATATCGGCCGTTACCCTGTTACGACAACGCACCCTCCTTCAGCACTCACTAGACCCGTACGACGGTTACTATACTAGGCGCTAGTAGAGTACTAGCGGCTACGATCAGTTACACTAGAGCTAACGTACTGCGTATCTCGTTGACGCTAGTATGAGCTATTACTAGTACGGTCAGCTAGTATCTAGTAGTAGCCTAGTGTTTACACCCTGGAAGGTCCAGTCCGAAACTGTAACGGTTAGACTAATCCGACCACCGGCCTACGAAATAAACAGACAATTCGGCGCAGCTTATTAAGTTAACTATAACTGTATAGCTAGACCCTCTCTAACCCAAACGGCATGATATGTGCTTAATTCAACTCAAACCCATTGTTGCTTATTAAAGAAAAACATACTAAAAAGCTACTTTATACCTCACTTACAGAAAGTTCGGGAAAAGTTTTTGGTAATATTAGAGGGATTTTGGCTACAAGTCAGTGGAGGCTTGAATCTTGCCAAATGTTCCAGCCAATTGAAAAGGCGCCGTAAAATTCCTTTTCTTTCCCGTTTGCGGGAAAAACATTTCGCTGCGTCGGCCACGCCAGCGTATGCTGGTCGAACGCACGTGCGCTTGCACGGCCAGCGCGAGGGCACTCGTCGAGCGAACGGGCCGGATCACATCCGAGCGCGGTCCGGCACGGTCGAAGGTTGCGTCAAAACATGCTCACGTATCTGCAGCCAGCCGCGCGTAAACGCGGCAGCCATCGCAATTTGCAGATAGACCGCGCCCCCCCACGTGGGAGCGCCGGTACGACACTTCGTAAAAAAGCTTTGTGATAGACAAACGTCTATACCGGCGCAGTAGTGCAGTCATCGCCGTTACCGGTTTGCCAACGACGCTGAGCGCTGTCATCGCTGATTTGACAGCATTTACTTGAGCGTTTCTTGTAGGAGCCACTACGTTATTAGCCATGAGGCGCGCCACCCAAAAAACGTTTAGTCGGGCCGTTGAGATGGCCTACTGCTGTTCCATCGCGAAATGTGTTCGGTGGATTCCGCCAGTTTTCGCGTAATGCATTTTTCAGACCCCTTGTCTTCCAGTCATATCTGTCTAGAAAGTGGACAAAAATGGGGCCTCGGCGCGTGCGTATTCGCGTTGGGGCGCCGGCCTTCGCCGCGAAGCTGTGCGCTGCGCCGGCAAAAACGGGGGCCGCATAGTCCCTGCTCTTCATGTGCTTTGCCTCAAAGCGACCTGCCACTGATTTGGTGCTGTTACTACTTAATGCTGCGAAGCTGTGTTCACAAAAATCCAGTCTTGATCTATGTACAAATGAGGTATTTCCTTTGCATGCTTCAATGCTCGCTTCTGGACGGTAAAAGAGCCGGCCATCATCCCGCAGGCGCTAGCGAGGATGACACTTTGTGTTTTCCCAATCACAGTCCACGCCGCCCCCTTTTATTGATCAAAAATTTGTGAGTACAATATTCATTCGGACACGGAATCGCCGATCTCAGGAACTAGGGCATTCTCAATGCTAGGCTAGAACGGTTTCATACGATTAGAGTTTCAGCCCAAATACGTAAATAATAAACACGCTGTTTTGCCGCACAGACTGCCTAAGTTCTTTTTCTTTCATTTTCGCATATCTGTAGGCCGATAAGCCCCGCCTTATTTGTTGTTGATATGGCATTGAATTGGGGCGTCAACGACGTTCGAGCTGACTCCTGCTACCTACTGCAAGCCCGTTGACTTTTCGTTAAATAATGAAATGCCCCGGCGATGCCATTTCGCCCCATCAAAGCACGGTAAGAAAATTCTGGCATTTCACTCGCTATCGCAAGTCAACGCAGCGCGTCATTTCATTAAACATTTGTGTATTCCATAAGTTTCACTCATTGCTTCCTATAGTTATGATTTCCACAACTTTTTGCCTCTTTTGCCCATGAATAATTGCATACGAATCACTGCTATGTGATTAAGCTTGTTCACGGCACAAGCCTGTTTCTGCATTAAATTGCGCCTTCGAGTCCAGGTAGGTCATTCGACAACGCAGCAGGTGTGACCCGTAACGGTTCTTTGTGCTCGCGGCACTTGGCCTAGCAGCGCGAGCTACGCGTAGACGTTTGCTGGGCCCAGCTCCAGGCCTCGCTGGCCTGTGCATGGCCCGTGTTTAAGTTGTAACTAGTTGTTTGAGTATTAAAACAGCATTAAACCTATACAATAAATGTGATATGTTCTTACGAACGAGACATAACAATAAATGATTTTATTTAATAATAATTCATAATAATTAATACAGTTTTTCAGCTTCTGGACTCGCCCCTATCATAGCTGTTATAACCTTCCTATATTAATTCCTTAGGCTATAAAATATTGTTGCGTGCAATTTTTTATATTAACTTGCGTTTGCCTATTAATCACCTCGATCCTTTCTTTGTTTCGTGAATTTTTATCATAACTATTATATTTGTTTTTGTTCATAGTATTAAATCTAATCTTTTTGATTCAGCCTAATCTAGCGCGGGCTAAACCGACCTAGGCTCTCCGACTGTACACGTCGTACGGCAACTAGTAGCCATATGTAGTGTTAAGCTGAAGAATGAACTTGTGGTAATCTCACGCCCAGCCCATGACTTAGCGAGTTTTTTTAATATTATATTAATAACCCTAATTTTCTAGGAATATCGTCCATATAATCATTGTTCAGTCTTCTAAAACTACAGACCATCCGCTGACCGCTTGTGGAGACGTGCGCCGGGCCTCGATTTGGCGCGACGTCTCCACTGCGGACACGCTTCATACTTGAACATCCCCGCCGGTCGCGTGCGCATATCCCGCCTCGGAACTGCGCGGTCTCATCCAGCGCGCAAGCCGCTTAGGCATCAACAGCAAAGCTGCTGCACGCCAATCTTGTATCATGGTTCTCTTCTGGTTTTGTAGATTTTTGTTATGCCACCGGTTGTCCCCGTGTTACCAATTTCACCTTGCGCTTGTAATGAAGTCCGATCACTTCAGGATCAGTAATTTACCGGTCAGTATTTTATACATCTCAATCATGTCACCCCTCACTCTCAATCATGTCACCCCTCACTGTATGTTGAGCGGTAGAAAAGACTGTGCTTGCGCTCCCATATCTACTTATGTCGCTAGACATTTACATATAGGCTGGGCATACAATGATACATCATGCATAAACTACATATGACTATTACTATTAGTATTATGCCAGGCAATGTAGTAATAGTGCGTTTACCGCATCCTGGGCCTTGCCGGTAGCAATGCCTGGTACTGCCCGCTGAGCATCATCATGGCAATGCGTACTCATCATAGGGTAGTACTAGTATGTAGTAGAAGTCCCCTGTGGCCAAATGTCTACTATTACTTTATCTTTGAGACGAAACGTCCTCGATTGCATTGTTTTCATTTTTGATTCGACTCCATCGTTTACAATTTGCCTCAGCCATAAACTTTTTGCAGCTTAAGCGAGCGTAGGTAAAGTTGAGAAGGTAAACAGCTCTATGGCGCCCTCTTTCGTCAGACATTTAAGTCTAAAATGTGTGATTGAAAGTTGTGATTCATTTTCGGAGAAGCCGAGTTCGTGCGGGAATATGAATTATGAATATATCAAGCTTTTTTAATATTCCAAATACCTCAGAATCTTAACATTGGAGACTGTGAATCTCCCGTGGCTCGGATGACCACGTAAAATGGGGAATACTAGTGGTCTCCAGAAATACTAGCCAATGGGGACGTAAAAGAACCACTGAAGACGCAAAAAGAACTCTGGCTGTGACCATGCACCCTCAGTGCCATTTGGCTAAAGGCTGACTACGTGAACTGACTGATAAATAAGAATAAGAATAAGAAATAAGAAGAAGGAATAAGAAGAAGGAATAAGAAAATAAGAAGAAGGAATAAGAAAATAATAAGAAGAAATAAGAAGAAGGGATAAGAATAAGAAATAAAAAAGAAGGAATAAGAATATGAAATAAGAAGAAGGAATAAGAAGAAGGAATAAGAATAAGAAATAAGGAATAAGAAGAAAGAAGAATAAGAAGAATAAGACGGAATATGAAGAAGAATAAGAATAAAATTCGCCGCACATTCCAAAGAGAGAATCAGCTAGTGCCTTGTGAAATACAAAAGAGGGACCCCAAGATACAAGATACAAGATACAAAAAGATAGGACGTTTCCAGTCGATCGTTTCACTGAGATTCCCACTTTCTCAATCCTACCTAATACAATAATGTCATGTCGGTCAGACTTTATTTGGATGATAAATGAATATATTGTTGACTGTACGGCTGCATGTATAAATTATTTGTAGGATTTAATAATAGTGTAAGCGTAGTTGTATTTAAGGACGCGTTTGTTTCGAGCAGTTCCAGATGTTTTATACCTGGTGACAGCGTTATATTTACTAAAATTATAAATTAAAAAAACTAGATTGCTTTTGAAATGTTTAAATGTAACTTAATAATGCTTAATAACTTAATAATATAACTTAATAATGTACGCTTCACCGATTATATAATGAATTATACGTGATAAAATATTAATCACCCGATATATATGATTATATATAGTGATTATGTATACATGGCCGTCCGAAAGTGCGGTCGCACCCCCTTTTTTCCAAAGTTTACCCAGGGAATTAATTATTTAACCGGCAAATGAATTCGTTGCGCAAGTGTTAGCGTAGGGCCAATATTTTCGCGTGTTTATGCAGAAAGCTTTTGCATCGCGCGTATAAAACTTTGGATTTCCAAAATTATTTCTGAAATATTGGTCATAAATTGTGTGCAAAAATGCTCCAAAATAAGGCTCAGATTGCACCAGAGAGCATCTAAAACCCGTGAGCTTCCAGGACCCCGGACCCCGGCCGCAAGGGACTTCGCGCACGTGAAGCGCACATTATTTCACAGAAATTTTTAAGTACGTACTCCTGTCATGCCCCCCCCCCCCCCGTTGAAAAAGCTTGGGACGGGCCTGTATATATATATATATATATATTATAAAGTATATATATTATGTGTGTGTGTGTGTGTGATGTGTGTGTGTGTGTGTCGTGCGCTGCGCTGCGCTGCGTGCGTAGCATGCGTGCTGTGTGTATGTGTGTGTGTGCGACGCGTGTGCGCTTGGTCGGGGTTCCTGTGTGTGTGTGTGCGTGTGCGCGTCCGTGCACTGTGCGTGCGGTCGTGCTGTGTATGCTGGCCTGATTGTGCGTAGCGGTACGGCACGTCCGTCCGATATACAACGTGCACACATAAACTCTGCACAGCGCACTATATAAACTTGCACACTATACATATATAGGATGTATGCCCTACACAGTAAAGCTAGTATAGGCAACAAGCTACAGAACATGACTTATATTGAAATTCGGCGAGCAAGTACATGGGGTATATACATAATATATGCAGTAATGTATATGCGATGAAGAGTAGAAGTATATATATAATATATATATATATAGTAATATTATATTATATATAATATACTCAGGAAGTAGTCATAATAGGCAAGGAGTGGAAATTCGTCATTTACGTAAGCCTTATAATACCTACGATTTAACTACGCTTTAACTCATCCAACTTCAAACTCAAAATCGCGTACACCAGTACATTCGCCTGTACACTAGCTACACAGCTACAGCACTCGTGCGAAATCTTTTCCTCGTATATACACCCGCACATCCGGGAATACAGACTAAAAGCTACGATCACGATGTATTCCATTCTGTTAGCCAGCAAACTCTTATGCGCTTCAGAGCCTAAATTTGAAACAAAATGCATGCTAACTAACGCCTCCGGCGCATGCGGGAAACACTCTACTCGCGATGCGGAAATAGTTGACACGCTGAAGAATTGGACATCGAGCGCAACACTCGGGAGATAACCTTGTGACCCAGCATACAGCTACATACGGGCCATACCAGCACTTAACAGGTTGGGTATGCCCTCCCCCCCACGGCACGCACCGAAATCAGCTAGCAATCTCCCAGCGAGCCCACACCGCATCGCGAGCGTTAGTAGCTGCCTTTTTTGTTTCAAATTAGGTGAACGGCATCGAGTTTTGCTGGGGCAACAGAATGGAGAATTGTGTCGTACGGTTTTAGTCATGTATCTCCTGTGTGAATTGGATGTATTACGCGTAGTAATCGTAGTGTATGTTAACGCTTTAGTAAATGACGATATTTCCTTGTTTATTGGAAGTTCACATCCTTACCCTTTTCATCTATTATATAGTATTATATATATATATATATATATCATATATAGGATATGTGTATAAATGGTATATTCCATATTTTAATTCACATATGCTCCCAGGTCGCTCTTCGCTAAATCCAGTAACATGTTTATATAATAATATAGAAAAGCTACGTCAATTGTCAGCTTATCAATTTTATTGTTTGTATAGTTATTGGCTTACTATTGCGGCAAAAAAACCCTTCTGGTTGTCTACAATACACTGCAAGCTGAAGAACATCTATATCTCAACACACACACGTATCCCATTACTTTAAAAGATGCATGCTTTCGCTGTTTAATATTACAAACGTTTATCCCTTTCAAGGTTACAGCATAAAAACTCCAACTAGAACCAATATAAAATATTCGGAAATACACAATCACATACCGACTATATCAGAAATGAAGAACGGTGATAGACACTGTTAGTAGTTGCCATTTTGATTCGAACTGATATAACACTCTGGTTTCAAATTAATAAGTAATACATTCAAAATAGTTTCCTACTCAGTTCAGTTTAAGTAACCACTGACCAGATGGTTATAGTCTAATCTTAGTCTACTAGAATGACATTCATAACTAGAAAGGGCAGTTGTCGCCAACTACATGTATCCCCCGTGATCTAGTATTAATGAAATATCTCTGTAAGGACGTAGAAGGTAGGTAAAGTTAAATAAGTCACAAAGACAAAGGTTTGTTACACAACTCATCTGCCTGAGATGTGCAAGTATGTTAAAATTGGTTGCCTTAGGAGTTTTGGTATGCGACACATCTTCTCCTTAAGATGTGTAAGTATACGAAGTTTGCTCACGCTAGGTCAATTAGGGGCCGAGTTATAGAGCGGAAGGGAAATATGATGAAGGTCAAGGTCAAGGTAAATGTCAAATAAAGGTTGCAGTGACCTGGTTTCGGTACGCGACACACCTTCTCCTCAAGATGTGTAAGTATACCAAGTTTGGTCGCGCTAGGTCAATTAGGGGCCGAGTTATACAGCGGAAGAGAAATATGATCAAGGTCAAAGTAAAGGTCGTAGTGACCTGGTTTTGGTACGCTGCACACCTTCTCCCCAAGATGTGTAAGTATACCCAGTTTGGTAGCGCTAGGTCAATTAGGGGCCGAGTTATAGAGCGGAAGGGAAATATGATCAAGGTCAATGTCAAGGTCAAATAAAGGTCGCAGTGACCTGGGTTTAGTACGCAACATACTTTCTCCCCAAGATGTGTAAGTATACCAAGTTTGGTAGCGCTAGGTTAATTAGGAGGCGAGTTATAGAGCAGAAGGAAAATATGATCAAGGTCAAGGTGAAGGTCAAATAAAGGTCGCAGTGACCTGGGTTTTTGCGTACGCTGGGCACCTTTCTCCAAGATGGTGTAGTTATGATATATTTTGGTCTGCTAGGTAATTAGAGGTGGTTATTTTGGGGAGGGAAATGTCTGCAGACGGCTGGCGGCGGGCTGACAGACATTAAAACATAGTATTGCCGCCGACTTCGTCGCGGGGGATACCCAATACCATAACCAATTATTTGTTTTGATTTATTTGAGGTGTTTTCATCATACATACGATTATTAACCAGCATTTTATTTCGTTTAAATTTTCAACAAGGAACTTTCTAACATGATACAGAGCTTTGAACGAACCAAACTTGACCTTACTACTTCAAACTGCATGCACAGTTCTCATAGAGTTTAATTACACTCGTTAGTACTTGTGGACAAGCGATATTGTATGTAAATCAAATCAATGCCATTGCAGGCTTGCTTGGTAAAATCTTCACAGTGATTACTACAACAAGCATGGCTTCTTGGAACATTGCAACGTTCACTTGATATATAATTTTTTATCAATATAATAATGCGTTATAAATTAGCAGTCATCTTTCATTATACTGTCGGCAATAAGTGTAGAAGGCACTTCGAAATTACAGTTAGACAGACTACATGTACTAGCCTGTGTTTCCCTTACGTTTTTCATCGATCTGTATTAATTTAGTGCTACACTCTTACAGAATTATGTAACGTATTTTCAGCGAATATGTAATACAACTTGTAGATCAGCATGGGAATCGAAAAGCTTACATACTACTTGAAGTATTGTATGCTGTAAAAACCTATATTACACAATCAATTCAAGGATTCACATAGCGGTCCTATATATCAGAGAGTTGCCGCCATGACGGTCGGAAATCGGGTCATCGTTGGTCGCTGGACGATGTTGTTTCCAGTAATGATACGCACGGCTTGATGGCCGTAAGAAGTGTCGATTAATTTTTCATATGGCTTGCGAACGATTTTGATGTTACTATTTTCTCAGGATCTAGATACACTAGAAACATGTGCTTGCTTAATCTCTTGTAAATTTTGAGTTTAGTGAAGCCACGGTTTGTCTAATTAATATTCTACGGACATTGTTCGGTAATCCATTACAGGCGCTGTACTTAAGCGGAGCGGTGTAGATCCATTTGGAAACAAAATGGCGTCAAATCCTGAGTTGGCGCATCTCTCTGTATACAGGGACCCTAGATTCACACTGCCAATAAACGCAACATATATAAGCTATAAATTAATTGCAAAGGCACAAATTGTATTTTGAACATCATAGTACAGTTCACACATGCATTTATAACAACTATACCCCTATTTATGATGTAAAAAGAACATTAAGTCTCAATTTCTTTTTGCATTTACCCCCCAAAATTTCCTTCTGTGACACTGATACTCCCTGTCTAACATTCCTCATACTGTAATATTAGGTACTGTTGCTATAATAGTAGTGTTTAAAAAATTCTAACATACACAACATGTACATTCATGAAGGAGCCAGTTGTGTCAGTCATTATTATAAATAGGTGGGTCATTTAGAAATATTGCAAAGGCCTCGCATAGCATTCAAAACCATGACGCAATGCTAAGTCCAAACGTTTCTTGAGAAACCACCGAACTACGTTATGTCACTGCTGATTACACATGTTACATATGTATAAACATAAATGGCTACATATCACAAACATGTGCAGTTCCCTGCACTCAATAAATCAGCTATGGTTGCATGGATACATTACACAGAACACTTTGAAAGTCCTGTTGAATCCATTCGATCTAGAACTTTATACATTTTTAAACCAGAAATGCCAGAAAAGTCCAGAGTCCATAAAAGTGCACGCATAGCAAATCAATTTGGAAAATGATCAATCTAAGCATTGCAATGTATTGATACACATCCACGAAATACAGGTTATCAATATCAGACTTTGAAAAATATAATCAGATTTTAGTACATGCACTAGGCTCTTATATGATTCACAACAGATGGCACAAAATAATTCGTACATAAACTCAAGGCCAAAATAAATGTCAGTGGGGATTGCTTCCAAGAAAACTTGGCCAATCAGAGAACTTCAGGCAAAAACTGGGACTGTTTATCAAAGCTCAGCGTGAGAACAGCTACGTTTACACAATATTATTTAAGGTAACTTAGGGAAGACCATGTTTCTAGTTTGTATAGATACAAATGTAAAATCAGCACCTTAACAGAGCTTAGAAGGACCATTTTAATAAATGTGATTGGCTAGGAACGCAGCTTCATAAGGACTTCTTCAGACATGTGCAGCATACTATATATATGTGAATAAGCCAATAACACAGTCAGGCACACTAAACAATGTAATAAACCCAAGTTTATATAGTAAAAATAATTTAATAAAACCATACACGTACCTAAAGGCTATTCATAAGAGCTGTCATGTGCAAAACAATCTTTAACAATTACACTGTGATCTAGCAAACTATGGTATTTCTTCACAGTCTGATGCTTCAATGGCTGCATTTTAGTTAAATGTTAAAGATTTTACACCTATATTTAATATTTTCCATCCAGCTACAATTTTTATCACTCAAATCTCATCTGAAATGCTCACTTGCAATCTAGAATTGAAATTTGTTTAAATTGACTGCATTCACCAAAATAGCCTCAAGGCAGAATGAATGTGCAACTATCAGAAAACTTGATATGTTAACTGTTGAAGGGACTTAAGAGTGCATTTGTGCACACTTGATAACAATGGCTTTAAAAGTTACCTAGCTTGAAACCTGTCTCGGTATGCGACACAGCTAGACTCAGAAATACTAGCATCTCTGGTTGTTTGGTGTGAATTATCTTAGCCATAGTTTTAGTCTGAATGCATCAACACCATTAAGGTAGTACCTGAATAGCCTCTTGTCTCTTACAAACCCTAGATTTTCGTACAGATGAAGAGCACCTCGGTTTGTCACCTCTGTCTCCAAAACAACCTGTGAATGGAAATGTCCCTTTAGACACATTTTAAATGCAGAATGAATCATTAAAAACTGCATAAAGTCCAATTAAATCATAGTCACATATTTTTCCTTACCATGCTTGAGGTAATATTTACTATCTAAGACATTCTCGATTGGTACATGCTTTACACGGTTCTATGTTGTATTATAAGATCACATTAAAAAAATCAACTGCGAATAAGATAATAAAAAAATGTTTCGTCTTCAGATGATTCAGCACCGATTTAAATGAAGTGTGTTCTCACAGCACATGCAGGATAGTCAAAATAGGTATTAATGTACAACAATGTATTTGCAGTAAATTAAAACCAACTGGGGTAGAGGTATGTAACAGATAATCAGATAAATAACAAGAGCCGCACAGCGTCTGGGCTCATCTGGGGTCTGTTGCTACGGTTATGAACGTACAATTTCAGTCGTGCGTAGTGACACATTTGTTAGGCGCAGATATAGACCGGGAGCCCAGGGGGGTCAGCCTAGCTGGAAAGGAAACCAATTTTCATGCATATAGCAATGATTCGTGTACATACCCATGTAAGGAAATGTAAGTCTGGCAGGCAGCCGTTGGTGGGTGTGGTCAGTGGGGTCATTTGAAAGGCACCCCAAAATTGAGCTAGATTAGCTGGAAAGGAAACCCCATGAAACCTATTGGAAAATGTTCGGCATGGTCCCAGGTATCAGGAATGGACACTGCCAGAATTTTTCGAATCTCTCGGCGCCGCTTTTGATCTCTCGGC